GCGTCTGTATATCACATCATGGCTGCACTCGGCTAGCCTGGGGGGGGGGGGGAGCATCCTGCATGTTGCAAATACGTCACAATATTATTATCATCGATTTTACACGCTAGTAATATGTGATGAGTAACAAAAATTATGAAGTTCTCATTATATAATTTTTCCAGTTATTTACTCTGTGTTCTACCATATTGTGAAAGACCAAGTTTCACATCCAGGTAAAACTGCAGTTTATATATTTTATAACCTGTAGGTTTTTAGATAGTAGATGGGAAAGCAAAAGATTCTGAACTGAAGGAAAGTGGCAGTCCCCAAATTGAATCTGCTCTTAACTTATTTATCAGTTTAATTTTGTTTTGTTACTGTCATCCAAATATTTTAACTTACCCACATTTTTAGCTATTTTTATATTTTGGTTTTGTCTTGCATTCAGATGATGGTACATGAGTGTAGTCCTATGCTCTGTGCTTATTTTTAGACCAACCTCTTTACTACCAAAGGTATACTTGCGGGCCGTCAATGCAGAAGTTGATTATCTATATAAATAAAAATATAAATGTTCGTTTGTTCAAAGTCTTAAATCCCCGAAAGTTCTTCACTGATTGCTTTGAAATTTTGACACAATGTTGCATTCGAATACGCGCATGTTTTTATATACCTATTATATAGATGTCACACCTGTGACAGGCAAAAACATGTCACATGTTCAGAATCCAGGAGACACTTCCATAGTAACGCTAGAACAGACCGTTGCATAGGTAGCGAAAATAGCGGTATTGTAGCCCCAACAGTTGGCAGTTGCCTAGGAAGTAACCATAGCAATACTGTAATCCCAACAGTGAGCCGTTGTGTCGAGAACATTGAATCTCCTTGGTACGACAAATACACGGAGCGTTCCCACAGAGACAACGCAATAACAATGGGTCGTTGCGTAGGAATCACGGAATCAACAAAGCAGCGTTTCCCCAGTGGTAGACAACAGAAGGCATTGTATAGCAACCGCCGAGGTATAAATAGCCCAGCTTCGACAAGGAGCAGTCAGTCTGAAATTAACTGCTGAAGAAGTTAGTCTGGTATTGCGAGATGCTGTTGTAAATGACAGTAACACAACTAATGTTGGAAGACTAACCATTTTGCCATCTTCATATACAGGCAGTCCACGTCATATGCATGAGTACGCTCAAGATGCAATTGCGTATGTTCGTCACTACGGGCATCCAGACCTATTCATTACATTCACATGCAATCCGGCTTGGAACGATATACAACAGCTCTTACTTCCTGGGCAATCGCCAGTGGATAGGCATGACATCACAGCACGTGTTTTCAGACAGAAGCTGAAATCGCTGATGGATTTCATGGTAAAACATGAAGTGTTTGGGTCTGTGCGCTGCTGGATGTACTCAGTGGAATGGCAAAAAAGAGGATTGCCACACGCACATATACTAATCTGGCTCTATAACGAAATCACTTCAAACGAAATTGACGATGTAATATGCACTGAAATACCCGATGCTGACGTCGATAAAGATTTGCATGAAGGAAAATTCCAATATGAACATGGGTTTCACAGCAGAAATCTGCAACGAAGCGTTGATAATGATTGAAGATTCATGCTTAGAAATCACGAACAAAGTTCTCAATCAATTGGGAATGCCATCACCGAATCGATCTGCTGCTGCTTCGTTCAATGTAGAATTGCGTCGTGAACAAAATTACAACATGGGTGTTCTTTTGTCATATGTGCAGTCAAATATTCCTAAGCTAACGCTTGAGCAAAAAGGCATTTATGATCAAATAATGCAAACTGTCAATAATCGGGTTACAGAAATCTTCTTCTTAGATGCGCCAGGAGGAACTGGTAAAACGTTCCTAATTAGATTGATTCTGGCAGCAATTCGATCCCAAAATGACATAGCCTTAGCTCTTGCGTCGTCCAGAATAGCTGCGACATTGCTACCAGGTGGAAGAACTGCTCATTCTGCTTTGAAATTGCCATTGAACATGCAATTCATTAACTCCCAGATGCAACATTCCAAAGCATCAGGCATGGGAAAGGTATTGCAGAAATGGAAACTTATTGTTTGGGATGAATGCACAATGGCGCACAAAAAATCGCTCGAGGCTCTTCATCGATCATTGCAAGATTTGCGTGGAAACATCAGACCATTTGGGAACGCATTAATATTGCTTGCAGGAGATTTCAGGCAAACATTACCTGTAATTCCTCGATCGACACCAGTGGACGAAATAAATGCTTGCCTGAAATACTCTACTTTGTGGCTACACATAAAGACGTTAAAATTAACTACAAATATATGTGTCCAGCTGCAAAACGATTGATCAGCTGAGATATTCTCACATCAATTGCTGGAAATTGGGAACAGAAAGGTGCCGGTTGATCTGACCTCAGGACGAATTTCATTGCCTCATAACTTCTGCAATTTAGTGACGTCAAAAGAAGAATTGGTTGAAAAAGTATTTCCCAATATTCAAACCAATTATAAGAATCACTATTGGCTGAGTGAATTAGCTATTCTTGCCGCCAAGAACAAAGACGTCTACGAACTTAACAATATCATTCAGTCTAACATTCAGTGTGAGACAGTCACGTACAAGTCCATCAACACTGTTTTTGAAGCAGATGAAGCAGTTAATTATCCAACAGAATTTTTGAATTCACTCGATCTGCCAGGGATGCCACCGCATGTACTGCAATTGAAAATAGACATGCAAATTATCATGTTGCGAAATATCAACCAGCCAAAGCTTTGCAATGGCACATGGCTTGCAGTAAAAAAATTATTGAGCAACGTCATAGAAGCAGCAATCTTGACAGGACCTTTCAAAGGTGAAGATGTCCTCATTCCTCGCATTCCTATGATTCCAACGGATGTGCCATTTCAATTTAAGAGATTGCAATTCCCAATTCAATTGGCATTTGCAATCACCATCAACAAAGCTCAGGGCCAATCTTTAGAATTGTGCGGTTTAGATCTAGACACGGGTTGCTTCCCACATGAACAATTATATGTTGCATGTTCTAGAGTCAGCAAACCAGACAATCTCTATATCTGCACAGACAATGGAACAACGAAAAATATTGTATACCCACAAGCATTGTGAAATTAAACATTAGAAATGTGTGCTTTCTCTTTTCTTTCTTTTCCATTTAACCAGACTGAGCCACAGCAACGCGTGGCCGGGTACTGCTAGTAATCCAATATTAAATATTTTAATATCTGTTTATAGTCAGTTGTTGTTTTGACTGCCCCCAAGTATACCTTTGATATATGATACACAACAGGATGCAGAAAAATAAAGATAATCCTTAACACATTGCGGACCGGTGGTTTAAACATTTAAATCACCCTGGGGACCGGCGTTTTTAAACCTACTACCCTAACTTGTGCACTGTTCACTTTAAAAATTAATATAAAATCTCCTAATTAATTTTATGAACTGAAATTTTTGGAGAACACTTACCAGAGCTCCTA